TTTTTTTTTGTGCAAGGACGAATATTCGCGAACTATTTGAATGGCAAAAAATAATTAAAGTCACCTCAAAAATACTTCACTTCATTCTTAAATTAACAACAACTCATGAAATAAATACAAATGTTTTATAAATAAAAAAAATCAATAAGTGTTTTGACCATCAAATATTAAATCCCTGAGCGGAAAACAAAAATTTTGGTTGTTTACTTCTTTTAAGTAAACATAAAGCGGCTAAGCGCGTGTCACAATAGCAAAAATGGCAGACTTGAGAAATCGTACGTACATACATATGTGTATGTATACATACCCTGCAGCGGAAAGTAATAGTACAGAACTAGTGAATTCACCAAGTGCAAGTTTCAACCGCCTAAAAAATCGCGGTTGATTTGTAAGAATTTTTATTTGGAGGCTGCTCTTGCGGTGTTTTTTTTTATATAACAAGTGCAATTTACAAAAACTGGCGTTGATTTTTTTTAATTTTATTGTTTACAGTCTCCCGCATTTTATTTCATAAAAAATGCATGCTTGTATGGAAAAAAGTACAAAAATCCGTCACAAAAAAAAAAAAATCTCAAAAATCAACGTGATTTTTTAGGCGGTTGAAACTTTCACTTTATTAGACTATAATTGTATGGGCTATAAAACTGCATACACAAAAATGTTCTAAAGACTCAAATTAAAAATTGAAATTTTTTGATGAAAATTTGTTGAATTTTCGTAAATTCTGTATAAAGTTTGAAACTGTTTATATTAGGGCTGTGCGATTATTCGATTAGTCGAGCAAGTTGGTTAATCAATTATTCGGTTAATCAATTACTCGAGTAATCAAGATTTTGATTACTCAAAACGATGATTGATCGAGTTTCTTGAAATATGATTACTCAAAAAAAATAATTTTGCTCGTTAAAAGAGTTTGCTTTGGAAAATATTTATTTTCTTTTTTACATTCTGTATATGAAAAAAGAATTTTGAGTAATCAATTAATCGCACAGCCCTAGTTTATATGGTTTCGGTTAAAGCATGAACGGTAATTGTTTATAGAAAAATGACAAAAAAATAATTTGTTCGAAATATTTTTTCATCTTCAAAACAAAAAGTGCGGAGTTTTGGGACACCCTGTACATATAAGTGCAAACATGCATTTAAACGTGCTAACTAAAAGCTGTTTATTCGTTATCGAATTCACATCATTTCAAGCAGAAAGGAGCTAATAATAAATTATTTACTAAATATAAAAACAAGTGAAGAGTAACATTTTTGTACATAGTAAATACATACATACATGCATATCTACAAGTACCTACACAGGTTTTAATAAGTTAAATTATTATTTGTACATTTGTAGGCAAAGATGTAATTGTCGTCATACATATATATAAATATGAGTATATCGGAACTTTATTTTTCTAAAATTAAGTAGATTCACTAATGTGATAAATATGTACGAGTATATGTATACATATGCACATGCACAGGGTTAAGCGCCATTTGAAAATAGAATTTTGCTAAATTTTGAGTAAAGAAGGGATACCAATTGGAAAATCGCTCGCTGGATTTAATAGATACATATAAAGCTATATTTATGTATATATATATATGTGTAAGTACATATATGGATTTTAGTTAGGGTGTTCCTTAATTTCAAATAAATTTAATGTGAAAATTTGCTTCCTATATTTAAGGACCACCATAATGTATATGAATATGGGACATTCTTTGCATCCCATCTCCCCACTTTTGGTTAGTTAAATGGGTTCTTAAGATCACTGAAATTAGATTCTACAAATTCGTAACGGACGATTCATAGTGGACCTACTATTTATCACGGAAAAGTTTAAAGCGAACGTACGCACATTGCGTATGTGTAACATTCTCAACTCGTCTGAATAACTCATACGCCATGTAGTTTCCAACTTTTGTGGTCGCCATTTCAAATTTTTTTCATGTGACTTTAGATTCGTAATCAGCGACTACAAAAACGGCCAAGGCAAACATTTCGAGCGAATCCAACTGGTTTAAATTTTTTTTCGCCACCATATTTGATCCCCCATTTTTAAATAAGGCCCCAGATTTGAAATCAGAAACAGAACATAAAGAGTCGCTGTTATTCTTTCCCTTTTAGTGTTGGGTTCCCCAGAACCCAAAAGTGAAGAGATGGGACAAAAAATTTCCATATAAATATATTGGAAATAAAACCCTTAGTGTCGTTTTTTCAAGTAGCTTTTAAAAAGCTTTTGAAAAAAGGCTACTTCAAGTATAATTCGTTTCTGCTTCGCTCTAATATTACAATTTCACCAACGAACCATCCTCATGTTTATGTATAAATATGCGAATAAGCCTTACTTTTTGGCATTCACTCATCTGTATGCTTGTTTGCTTGTGAAAATAAAAATGATGACAACAATGTAATTAATGGCAGCAATTATGGAACATATTCGAATTTTAATTCTCTGACGCATAAACGGTACGATGAACCTGTTTGGATACATAGTATGTAAGTTTTCTGATGAGCCAAGTGAAGTGCATGTCAAGCAATGCGGTAGACTTGTAGTAACGATTACACAGTGAAACAAAATTTTTATTTTCAAATTCTGTGAAACTATGTAAAAATTTGTTAAAATCTTGGTTGAATAATTTTAAGGTTTTATAAACGTTCAAAGCAATAACGCTCAAACGCCTGCACATATATTAAATTCCTGACAGTCAACCGCCAAAAGTTATTTGCAATGGCAAACGAAAAGTAAATTGTACTATTGTCTAAATCAGCGATCGTCCGTAACAGTTACACATTTTATTAAAAAAGTCACTCTTTAGCAATTATTTTTTTACTTTTATTTAATTACTTCTTAAATAACAACTTTTTCTGATTTTTATTTAATAAATCCATAATAACAATTATTTTTGAATTTTATCTAAAAAATCTGCAAATAACAATTATTTTTGATTTTTAAATTATATATATCTTAGATACCAGTTATTGAAGACTTTTATTTATGGCAGTCGATTGAAAAATGCCCTATCTCGACATATTTTCCAGATATTTTCAGTTGACATAGGGCGTTTTTGAACCAAGTTTTTAGATAGGGCGTTCTTCAACCGAATTCTGAGATGGGACGTTTTTCACTCAAACTCTGAAATACGGCGTTCTTGAAAAGTTTCCTGAGAAACTGGTTTTCGAACCGGCTCCCGAGATAGGTCAATCTTCCACTCAGACGTCGATATACACTTTTCTCGTTTTCTAAAAGATTTCAAATGAAATAAACGTTTTCTTAACGTTTAGGCTTAAAAAATGTTTCGATGCTTTTGCAAAAATATCAAATGAACCCCGATGTCACCATACGGTGAAAAAATCGATGTATTTCAAACCGATCGATGTAGTCAAACCGCTTTTCAGAGAGGCGCGTGAAGAGACTCGGGCTAACTTAGTTATAATGACTTCTGCATGACAGGCATAGAAAACTATATTTTTTATTTTTTTTTGCTTGAAGTGACCACACCCCTGCGGCTGAGTGGAGATGAGTGCGTACTATCCGGACTTGAATACGATCGCTGGTCCGATCAACATCCAAAGTAAAAAAAAGTTGTTATAACAGTTTCCACCTCTGAGTATATTTCGACCAGCTGCTCATACAATCCATTTGTCGTTCGGAGGCGGCGGAAAACTGTATTGAGGGAACATCATCTTTCAACTTTTCTCCTCTGCCTGGTGAGCACATGACCTCGAAGTATCAATGTTTGTACATACTATGTATCATAGGTCTTGGCGTAGTTGTTAAGACAATAGTCATGCGTTGATCTTTGGCATTGACCGTGGGAATAGGGCAGGGGTTTGTTGAAGTGACAACGCCAAAATACAAAAAAAGGCACTACAAAACTTTAATCTCTAGTACCGTTTTAAGATTTATTTTAGATTTTTGCAAACGGGACTACATTTATAATACGATTTTTGTTTTCTTTTAATTTTTAGATGGCGTGGCAGCGTTTACAAACTGGTGTGGCGTGAACTAATCGCCTATTTATGCCTATATTATACAATTAATTTAGTCTATAGATTCGTATTAAATGAACAACAACAAATGTGAGTATAGAAAAACGTAACATATCGAGCCCTAACCGCCAAAATAACGTAAGCGCCATTTTTTTCAAAATTTTCTTTTCGATGCAGAAATACATCTAGATGCCCGAGGAATATTTCTGCATCAAAAATAAAATTTTGAAAAAAATGTCGCTTACGTTATTTTGGCGGTTAGGGCTCGATATGTTTGTAAATATTTAAAAAATGACAGCTAAAAATTAAGTCTTCAAGTATTTATTGGACTTGCTAATTTTCACACGTTTATTTTCAGAATTTTTACCAAAGTCCGTATATATTTCGGCCAACAG